TTGGTCAGACTGGTCTCAATCTCCTGATCTCAGGTAATCCACTTGCCTCAGCCTCCCAAAATGCTGGGATTGCAGGTGTGAGCCACCACTCCTGGCCGACAATTGCCATCTTAAGATTCAGTCTTCTAATCTATGAATGTGGTATATCTCTTCTTTATTTGGGTCTTTAAAGTCTTTTCTCAACTGAGCGTAGTGGCCCATGCCTGTAAAAAGAGTTTTCTATTTCGGCCAGATGTAGTGGCTCATGCCTATAATTCCAGCACTTTGGGAGGCCTAGGCAGGCGAATCATCTGAGGTCAGGAGTTTGAGACCAGCCTTGCCAACATGGTGAAACCCCATCTCTACTAAAAATACAAAAAAATTAGCCAGGCATGGTGTCAGGTGTCTGCAGTCTCAGCTACTTGGGAGGCTGAGGTAGGAGAATCTTTTGAATCTGGGAGGCAGAGGCTGCAGTGAGCCGAGATTGTGCCACTGCACTCTAGCCTGGGTGACAAAATGAGACTCAGTTTCAAAAAATTAAATTTCATTTTCTCATTTTTGCTGCAAATATAAAATAAAACTTATTGGAATTTGTTTTGTTTTGTTTTATTTCTTGTATTCTGTGAACTTGCTAAATTTATTATTAGTTCTAGTAGTTGTTTTATAGAGTCTTTAGGGCTTTTTACATAAACAATGATGCCATCTGTGAATAGAAACAATTTCGCTTCTTCCTTTCTGCTCTTGTATGTATTTTTTTAATTTTAATTTTTGTTTTCTGAGATGGAGTCTTGCTCTGTCACCCAGGCTGAAGTGCAGTGGCACAATCTCACCTCACTGTAACCTCTGCCTCCCAGGTTCAAGCAATTCTCTTGCCTCAGCCTCCTGAGTAGCTGGGATTACAGGCGCATGCCATCATGCCAGGCTAATTTTTGTATTTTTAGTAGAGACAGGGTTTCACCATGTTGGCCACGCTGGTCTCGAACTCCTAACCTCAGGTGGTTCACCTCCCTCAGCCTCCCAGAGTGCTGGGATTACAAGCATGAGCCACCATGCCTGGCTCTTGCTCTTGTATGTCCTTTTTTGCTGCTTTTGCCCTATTTCAGTGACAGAGATTTTCATTTCACCGATTTTGAGATGGAGTTTCGCTCTTGTTGCCCAGGCTGGAGTGCAATGGTGCAATCTCAGCTCACTGCAACCTCCGCCTCCCTGGTTCAAGTGATTCTCCTTCCTCAGCCTGCTTAGTAGCTGGTATTACTGGTGCCCGCCACCATACCCAGCTAATTTTTTGTATTTTCAGTAGAGATGGGGTTTCACTCTGTTGGCCAGGCTAGTCTCAAACTCCTGACCTCAGGTGAGCCACCATGCCTGGTGATTCAATTTTTTATAACAGCTTTTGGTTTATAGAAAATTTGGGCAGAAAGTACAGAGAGTTCCCAAGTACTCTCTTCCCTACCCCAAACCTAGTTTCCCCTATTATTAACATCTTGCATTAGTGTGGTACATTTGTTACAACTGATAAACCAATATTGATACATTGTTATTAACTGAAGTTCATAGTTTATATTAGAGTTTACTGTTTTATATAATTTTATGAATTTTGACAAATACATAATGTCATATCCACCATTATAGTTTCATACAGGATAGATTCACCTTCCTAAAAACCCCATGCTCCTCCCTCATCCCTGATCTCTTGTTTACTCCTGATCTTGTTACTGTCTCTATAGTTTTCCCTCCTCCAGAATGTCATGTAGTTGGAATTACACAGAATATAACTCTTTCAGACTGGCTTCTTTCACTTAGCAGTATGCATTTAGCATTCCTCAATGTCTTTTGTGGCTTGATAGCTAATTTCTTTTTATCACTAATTAATATTCCATTATCTGAATGTAGCACAATTTATTCTTTTTCTTTTACTTTCTAAAGTAATCCTTTTACCAGCCGGGCACGGTGGCTCTCGCCTGTAATCCCAGCACGTTGGGAGGCCGAGGCGGGTGGATCACAAGGTCAAGAGATCGAGACCATCCTGGTCAACATGGTGAAACCCTGTCTCTACTAAAAATGCAAAACATTAGCTGGGCATGGTGGCGCACGCCTGTAATCCCAGCTACTCAGGAGGCTGAGGCAGGAGAATTGCCTGAACCCAGGAGGCGGAGGTTGCAGTGAGCCGAGATCACGCCATTGCACTCCAGCCTGGGTAACAAGAGCAAAACTCCGTCTCAAAAACAAAAACAAAAACAAAAATAAATAAAGTAATCCTTTTACCTTTTGAAGATTATCTTGATTGCTTCCAGTTTTTTGGCATAGGTACTATAAACATACCTATGCAGTTTTTTTTGTGTGGACAGTAAGATTTCAACTCATTTGGATAAATACCCCAGAGCACCATTGGTGGATCGTATGTTTAGTTTTGTAAGAAACTGCCAAACTAGTCTTCCAAAGTGGCTGTACTATTTTGCATTCCCACCAGCAGTGAATGAGAGTTCCTGTTGCTCCACATCCTTGCTAAGCATTTAATGTTGTCAATGTCCTGGATTGTGGCCATTCTAATAGGTATATATAGTGGTATCTGGCTGTTGTTTTAATTTGCGTTTCTCTAATGACATGATATTCGGCATCGTTTCATATGCGTGTTTGCTATGTGTACTGTTTTTTAAGTTTAGATTTTAAGTTTAGATTAATGAAGGATGTTGATCAGTAATTTTCTCTTTTGTGATTTTATTAGGGTCAGGTTTTGGGATCAGGGTTCTGCTGAACTCTCAAAATAAATTGAGAAATAGTCTGCCTCCTTTATTTTCTGAAAGAGTGTGTGTAACATTGATGTTATGTCTTCCTTAAATGATTCACCAGTGAAACCTTCTAGGCCTGAAATTTTATCTCTTGGAAGATTTTTTTTTTTTTTTTTTTGAGACGGAGCCTCTCTCTGTTGCCCAGGCTGGAGGGCAGTGGTGCAAGCTCGGCTCACTGCAACCTCTGCTTCCCAGGTTCAAGCAATTCTCCTGCCTCAGCCTCCCCTAGTAGCTGGGATTACAGGCACCTGGCACCACACCTGACTAGTTTTTGTTCTTTAGTAGAAATTCCCTTTCACTATTTTGGCCATGCTGGTCTCAAACTCCTGACTTTAAGTGATCTGCCCACTTCAGCCTCCCAAAGTGCTGGGATTAGAGGCGTGAGCCACCATGCCTTTCAGAAGATTTTTAGATAACAAATTTATCTAATACATATAGAGAGCTATTTAGATTTTCTATTCTGTGTTGTGACAGTTTTGATAACTTCTATTTTTCAAGGAATATTTTCATTTCATATATATTGTTTGATTTTTGGCATAGTGTTTATTAATTTCTCTGTTACGCTTCAATCCTTCTTTCTTTTCTTTAATTGCAGCTTCTGTGTTCCAGGCTCAAGCAGTCCTTCTACCTCAGCCCCTGACCACAGGTGTGTGCCACTACACCTGGCTAAATTTTTTTTTTTTTTTTAAATGTTTTTAGATACTTAGTCTCCCTGCACTGTCCAGGCTGATCTCAAACTCCTGGGCTCAAGCGATCCTCCTGCTTTGGCCTCCCAAAGTACTGGGACTGCAGGTGTTAGCCACAGTGCCTGGTCCTTTTTACTTTTCTGATATAAGCTTTCCAGCTATAAATTTCTCTCAAAGCATTGCTTGACTTATATCAAACAAATTTTGATGTTTTTCATTAGCATTCAGTTTGAAATCTTATAATTTCTTTTTTGACCATAGATTATTTAGAAGTACATTATTTAATTTCCAAACATTTGAGGCTTTTTGGATGTTTTGTTAATACTTTCTGTCTTAATACCATGTGGTCCGAGAACATACTCCATAGGAAACAGATATCTGTTGAAAATACGTATTCTGGGGGGAAATGAAGTGGTTAAACGAATCTGTTTGAGCCCTGTTACCATATTTTCTGATCTTTCTCACTGGAACATAAGTTCCACAAGGAAAGAGCCCTTGTTCTGTTTTTTTGTTGTTATTGTTTTTAGTTTTCAAGATTGAGTCTTGCTCTGTCACCCAGGCTGGAATGCAGTGGCACAGTCTCAGCTTACTGCAGCCTTGACTTCCTGGGCTCAAGCAATCTCCCACCAGCCTCCTGAGTAGCTGGGACTACAAGCACGTACCACCATACCCAGCTGATTCTTTTAAGTTTTTTAGATACAGGGTCTCACTATGTTGCCCAGGCTGTTGTTGAACTCCTGGGCTCAAGCAACCATCCCACCTTGACCTCCCAAAGTACTGAGATTACCCGCATGAGCTACCATGCCTGGCCAGAGCCTTTGTTCTATTTGGTGCTTTTTTTTTTTCCCCTCAAGACAGAGTCTTGCTCTGTTGTGCAGGCTGGTGGGCAATGGTACGATCTCACCTCACTGTGACATCTGCCTCGTGGGTTCAAGCAATTCTCCTGCCTCAGCCTCCTGAGTAGCTGGGATTACAGGTGCATGCCACCATGCCTAGCTAATTTTGTTGTATTTTTAGTAGAGACAGGGTTTCACCATGTTGGCTAGGCTGGTCTTGAACTCCTGACCTCGTGATCTGCCCACCTCAGCCTCCCAAAGTGCTGGGATTATAGGCGTGAGCCACTGTGTCCAGCCCTCTGTTCAGTGCTTTATCCCCAGCATCTAGAACAGCTAGACTGAATGAATGTTTTATGGTAAAACAGCTTCTAAATTTCTGTTCTGGCTACAATTTAAGCCCAGTGAGATGATTAAGACCTGGTCTCTGCCCTCAAAACACGTGAGGAATAGAAACAAACTAGATGAAGTATAACATGTTAGGACACTACTCCAATTACATGCAAAGTGCTGTGGGAAAGCAGAAAATGTGGTCTTAAATTCTTCATAAGCTGGGGTGGTACCCCTGGGGGAGGCTTTCCAGGGCCAGTGATGGTGGAGCCAGGCCACTGAGGAGGAACTGGAGTAAGCAGGGCATTCCACAGGGAGAAGTACAGTTTGATTTCTATGTGTATAATCTCTCCTTCCTTTCTTTCTTTTTTTTTCTTCAATAGGATCAGGCTCAAGTTCACTACAGGTCACAAAACATGATGTCTTGTTGGCTACTTTAAAAGCTAACCTGTTTGCTTTGGAGGACAAGTTTCTGAAGGATCCTCAGTGGAAAAAACTGAAACTCCTAAGAGATCAAATTGCTGATAAGGCAGAGTGGCCACAAAACTCTGTAGATGTCACTTGGAGCTTTACCTCTCAAACCTTGTTGTTGCTTTTGTGCTTAAAGGAAACCATGATCCGCCTTGCAGCTAATTTCAATCCAGGTAAACCCAACCCCAGGACTCCGGAAGTTGCTCCTGCCCTGAGCCCCGATGCACTTAGTATCTCACAGCAGAAGACTGTCCAGTTCGTTTTGCAGTTTGTAGTGACCTTGGGCATCTGCCCCTATCTCATGCCTGGTGTTGGAGTCCCATTGAGATACAGAACTGAGTTTGGTGCCGTTGTTCAAGACGTGGTATGTCTCGATGCTGCCCCTGATGCAACTCGGAGACTCTACACCAGCTGCAGGACCCTTCTGAATGTTGCTCAGCACACATCACTGGGGAGCTTGATATTCTGCCACCATTTTGGGGATATTGCAGCAGGTCTGTGCCAACTGGGATTCTGCCCAACCAAAAGCAAACTACTAACACCTGCAGAAGAGGTAAAATTGAGAAAGAGAGATTGTGTGCATGTGAATATGTGTATATTTTCATGGATAGCTGTTATAAAAGACAACTCTTAAGTTCTTCAGAACTGGTTATGCCAAAGCATGTCCAATGGATAAATGAATATTTTGGGGGTGGGCGGAGGTTTTATTTATTGGGTGCTTGTCCCTTGTACACCTGTAGAGTCCATTTCACCTGTCCCTTGCCATTTTTGAAAACAGCTTTTGCAGGTTGTTTCTTTGAACATCTATTTCTTCTATAAAGTGTGTACCAGGCCAGGCACGGTAGCTCACATCTGTAATCCCAGCACTTTGGGAGGCTGGGGCAAGTGGATCACTTGAGATCGGGAGTTTGAAACCACCTGGCCAACAGGGAAAAACACCATCTCTACTAAAAATACAAAATTAGCTGGGTGTGGTGGCGCATCCCAGCTACTCGGGAGGCTGAATCGCTTGAACCTGGGAGGCAGAGGTTGTAGTGAGCCAAGATTGCGCTATTGCACTCCAGCCTTGGCAACAAGAGCGAAACTCTGTCTCAAAAAAAAAATATGTATCATAATACCTGCCTCGGAAAGTGGTCATAAGGATTAAGGATAATGTGTGTCAAATTCTGGCCCAATCAATCTCTAGTAGTGCTCATATAATTACTACTAATGTTAGTAACATGGCTCCCTCATTAAATGCATTGGGAGGATTAAATGAGATAACATATGTAGAGCACCTGGTACACTGCATAACTCTGTCAATGTCCATTATTAGGTGTTAGGGGTATATGCCCATTTTTTGCTGTCACTTAGTCAAGTAAGCAGTTGAGCATCCAGACTACAGGAGTTGCTGTGGAGATCATAGAAGCATAAGACATGGTCCTTTTCTTCAAATAACTCACACACTGATTGGGAAGATAAGACTTACTGGCATGACATAGCAGGAACCACTACTCCTCCATGAGAGGACCACTGGCATCAGCATAGGGACTAGCCAGCAGAAGCTGTTGAGATGTAAATGTCTCAAGGGTCAGTGCGGCTCCCATGCGCAGTGATTCCCCAGCCTCCACAGCCAGATTTCACAATGTTCTTGTTTCTCTGTCACCTGCCTGTGTCACCCTTGTCCTTGTTCCTTTTCTCTTCTCTCTTCTGCCTGCATTCAGAAACATTTGCCTAAAAGCCACTATCATCCAAATGTTGGCATGAAATTCTGAGCTCCCTGGGGCCTTTATGTGATAGGAGCAGAGTGCCCCCTCTTTTCGGCAGGGTTATGCATGATTGACACTTCTAGCAGCACCTCCTGCTTGCACTTTCCGGAGGTAGTGGGACCCGGTTGACAGGTCTTATTACTGTTACTGAGGCTAAGTTGTTCCCAGATCTCAGGAAGGAGAGATAAATGAAAAGAGACACAGAGATAACCAAGTAGGAAGACAGGAGGAGTTGACAGATGGGAAACAACACTGGGTGTACTTTATGAAGCTGAACAAATTCCCATCAATATCTGTGTTGTAAGTTGCACCTATACCTCAGTGTGTGAATCAGTAAAGGGTAGGACCCTGACTGACTGAGCAGTAATCACCAAGGAGGACTGTACTGTTAAGTCTCAAGAGTACCCCAAAATCATATACCTCTTTGCTGCCCAAGTTCCAAATGAATTAAAAGATAGTTAAGAGTAAGAGAGATGTTCATTTCTATTGCTCATACAGGCAAGGTTGGAGGATACAGCTTATAGATGGAGACACATTTTTCTTTTTTTTTTAAATTTGTTATTATTTTTTGAGGTGGAGCTTTGCTGTGTTGCCCAGGCTGGAGTGCAGTGGCACAGTCTCAGCTCACTGCAACCTCTGCCTCCTGGGTTCCAAAGATACTCCTGCCTCAGCCTCCTGAGTAACTGGGATTATAGGCATGCACCACCACACCCAGCTTATTTATTTATGAGATGAAGTCTTGCTTTGTCACCCAGGCTGGAGTATAGTGGTGCAATCTTGGCTCACTGTAACCTCTGCCTCCCAGGTTCAAGCAATTCTCGCCTCAGTGTCCTGAGTAGCTGGAATTACAGGTGCACACCACCACACCCAGCTAATTTTTCTTTTTTTTCTTTTCTTTTTTTTTTTTGAGATGGAGTTTCGCTCTTGTTACCCAGGCTGGAGTGCAATGGCGCGATCTCGGCTCATTGCAACCTCCGCCTCCTGGGTTCAGGCAATTCTCCTGCCTCAGCCTCCTGAGTACCTGGGATTACAGGCACGCACCACCATGCCCAGCTAATTTTTTGTATTTTTAGTAGAGATGGGGTTTCACCATGTTGACCAGGATGGTCTCGATCTCTTGACCTCGTGATCCACCTGCCTCGGCCTCCCAAAGTGCTAGGATTACAGGCTTGAGCCACCGCACCCGGCCCCAATTTTTCTGTTTTTAATAGAGATGGGATTTTGCTGTGTTGGCCAGGCCAGTCTCAAACTCAGGTGATCCATCCACCTAAGCCTCCCAAAGTGCTGGGATTACAGGCATGAGCCACCGCACCTGGCAGGAGACAGCTCTTTCTGAAAGTGCTCTCCAGAATTAGACACTCTCACTACTAGCCCATTTTAAGGAGCACTGGAAAACTGCAGTGCCTTCTGCAGGGGATAGGCCTCTGAAAAATACCCAGCACAAAAGAGCAGAACAAAATGTGCAGTCACTCTCAAAAGACAGAAGAGGAACGAGCTGAGAGATGCATGCCAAAACCAGCCAGTAAGTGAGTTTATACCACCCTCAGCAATGAGTTCAGCCTCATAACTTTCCCAGAAGTGTGAGATGGAGAGAGGCCCAGGAATGTTTTAGAACATCTTCCCCCACATGGAAGGAAATTGAGAGAGGATAGAAGCCTGCCTTCCTCTCCTCTCACAGGTATCCCTGTACAGTGTTGTAAAATATTACTTTCTATTGTCTGCCTGGTTTGAATTCCACTAAATCCAAATGTTTCTTTTAGGTTCTAACTGAAGAGGAGAGAACCCTATCCAGGGTGGCCTTGAGAGACATGTTGGATCAAGTCTATCAGCCCTTAGCAGTCAGGGAACTACTTATCCTCCAAGGAGGACCACCCCAGGTACTCAGTCCAGGGCACTCTTGGGGGTGACTCATTAATAATAATGTATGTGGTATGCTGTCTTCTTCTGGAAAATTAGATAACTTTAGCTCCCTATTTAATGATCTAGTTGAGCCTTATTTCATCTTTTAGATCATAAAACGATACTTATAAAACTAAATGATACTGACCCTTAGGATAATTTAAAAGACCTTTTCTCTTTCTTTTTCTTTCTTTCTTTTTTTTTTGAGATGGATTCTCGCTTTGTCTTCCAGACTGGAGTGCAGTGGCTCGATCTCGGCTCACTGCAACCTTCACCTTCTGGATTCACGCTATTCTCCTGCCTCAGCCTCCTGAGTAGCTGGGCTTACAGGTGTGCAGCGCCAGGCCCAGCTAATTTTTGTATTTTTTTTTTTTTAGTAGAGATGGGGTTTCACCATGTTGGTCAAGCTGGTCTTGAACTCCTGACCTCATGATCAGCCCACCTTGGCCTCCCAAAGTGCTGGGATTGTAGGTATGAGCCACTGTACCTGACTTCTCTTTTTTTTTTTTTTTTTTTTAAGAGATGGAGTCTTGCACTGTTGCCCAGCTGGAGTGCAATGGTGCAATCTCGGCTCAATGCAACCTCCGCTTCCCAGGTTCACGTGATTCTCCTGCCTTAGCCTCCCGAGTAGCTGGGATTACATGTGCACACCACCACACCTAGCTAATTTTTTGTATTTTTAGTAGAGACGGGGTTTTACTATGTTGGCCAGACTGATCTCGAACTCCTGACCTCTTGATCCACCTGCCTCTGCCTCCCAAAGTGCAGGGATTGCATGCATGAGCCACCATGCCCAGCAAAAAGACCTTTTCCCTAATGGAATGATGGACACTTTTCCCAAGAGTATTATGATCACTTTTTTTTAAGACTTATGGCAATTTTATGCGAGATATATTTTACTCATTCTGAAACTGGATCTTTTTTTTTTTTTTAACTAAAATTTGGCTGTTTGACAAAACTGAAGTATTTGGACACTTCAATTCTTTGAATGGATTATGTACTTGAAGTCAAGAAATTAAAACCAGAGATCTTTCCAGGTTTAGGACTTTGTGATTTGTGAAAAAAAAAAAAAAAAGAAAAAAGAAAAAAAAAAAAAACAGAGATCTTATTGGTGCTATTCTTAGTTACTTTGTTTGAAAACATATAATAGTATAGTAGTATATATTCTGCTAGGGATAAGATAGTTTCTTTGTTTTCTTTTTTTTTTTTTTTTTTTTGGAGACGGGGTTTCACTCTTGTTACCCAGGCTGGAGTGCAATGGCACGATCTCGGCTCACCGCAACCTCCGTCTCCTGGGTTCAAGCCATTCTCCTGCCTCAGCCTCCCTAGTAGCTGGGACTACAGGCGTGTGCCACCATGCCCAGCTAATTTTTGTATTTTTAGTAGAGACGGGGTTTCACCATGTTGACCAGGATGGTCTCGATCTCTCGACCTCGTGATCCACCCGCCTCGGCCTCCCAAAGTGCTGGGATTACAGGCTTGAGCCACCGCGCCTGGCCCAGTTTCTTTGTTTTCTTAAGAATAATGTTTATCTGAAATTATTTAACTTGATGATATAGCTGGAACTGTCTTTTAGTACCTACATTTTCGTTATGAATCTAGGTGTGTAAAGAGTGAGGAGCCAGCCAGGCACCATGGCTTACACAGGTAAATCCAGTACGTACTTTGGGAGGTTGAGGCAGAAGGATCACTTGAGATCAGGAGTTTGAGGCCAACCTGGGCAACACAGCAAGACCCCCATCTCTACAAAAGATAAAAATAAAAAACTAGCCACATGTGATAGTGTGTATCTGTAGCCCCAGCTACTCTGGAGGCTGAGGTGGGAGGATTCCTCAGGCCCAGAAAGTTGAGGCTGCAGTGAGCTGTGATTGGGCCACTGTACTTCAGCTTGGGCAACAGAGTAAGACCTTGTCTTAGAAAAGGAAAAGAGTGAGGAGCCAAGGGAATTAGCTGTAGGTCAGGAGCAAGGACCAGCTGAAGCTGGCTGCAAAGGTATCTCCTAATTGAGTAATTTTTGTCTCATCCTTAGAATCTTACTTCCATAAGGCCTCTCTGGTATTCAACCCCAATGTGCAGATGTTTGAATTTGTAAACCTTGCCATTCTTCAGGTTTCTTACCCATAAGATAGGGATAATCACAACGCCTTCCTTGAAGTCCCTTTTGAGATTATATGGGAGTTACTTATGCTGTGCCTGGCACATCATCTCCTCAGTAAATGGTAATAATTCAGTAAAAGAGAGAGGACAAGAGAGTTGGGATGAAATATTTCTGTTACTAATTTTGATGCTTACATACTTAAGTGCAATGGTTGACAGCAACATGATTAATGTTCTAGCCCAAAATAAGGGCTAGAGTATTAAAACTGAGGCCAGGTGTGGTGGCTCACGTCTGTAATCCCAGCAATTTGGGAGGCTGAGGAGGGAGGATCACCGGAAGTCGGGAATTCATGACCAGCCTGACCAACAAGGAGAAACCCTGTCTCTACTAAACATACAAAATTAGCTGGGCATGGTGTCATATGCCTGTATCCCAGCGACTCGGGAGGCTGAGGCAGGAGAATCATTTGAACCCAGGAGGCGGAGGTTGGGGTGAGCACAGATCATGCCACTGCACTCTAGCCTGGGCAACAAGAGGGAAATTCCATCTCAAAAACAAAACAAACAAAACTGCAGCACCTTCTGCAGGGGATAGGCCTCTGAAAAATACCTAGCAAGAAAAAACAGAACCAAATGTGCAGTCACTCTCAAAAGACAGAAGAGGAATGAGCTGAGAGGTGCGTGCCAAAACCAGTCAATAAGTGAGTTTATTCCACCCTCAGCAGTAAGGGACACCAAGTCTGTTTATTCACCGTGGCTCCACAGAACTCCCAGAAAGAAACCCTTGAAGAAATCCAACTCTTTTTTGCAGATCAGACTGGGGCAGAAAAGAAATAAAAAAGAAATCCAACTCTTTCTTGGAACTGTGTCACAGGAATCAGATTTGCTAAGGCCACAGAGGCAAGGGCTAGAGTGCTCCCTCCCTGTTGTGAACTACCCTCTTAGTGGCAAATAACGTTCATAAGGATCTTCCTTGGAAGCTGGATTTAATTGTCAGAGATTGGTTGCATTAACTTAGTATTCCCAAGATCTACGTTTTAATCACTGATGCAAATGTCTGTTTCTGAGTTTGAAATTTCATTGATTTTTCACTGTTTTTTACTTTCTTAAAAATAATGCGGAAGAAGGTTTTGTAAATTTTTTTTTAAAGGAAACAATGTTGCTCTTTTGAAGTCTGTATAGCGCACTGTTAATTGTCAATATGACTCAGGACTTTAAAAAAATGTCTAGCCTGGCCTGACAGCTCACGCCTGTAATCCCAGAACTATGGGAGGCCGAGACGGATTGATCACCTGAGGTCAGAAGTTCGAGACCAGCCTGGCCAACATGGTGAATTCCCCTCTCTACTAAAAATACAAAAAGTAGCTGGGCATGGTGGCACGTGCCTGTAATCTCAACTACTCAGAAGGCTGAGGCAAGAGAATTGCTTGAACCTGGGAGGCAGAGGTTGCGGTGAGCCAAGGTCATTCTACTGCACTCCAGCCTGGATGACAAGAGTAAAACTCCGTCTCTTAATAAATAAATGTTATATATCATAGCTCTTTCTTTCTTTCTTTTTTTTTTTTTTTTTTTTTTTTACAGGCATGAGCCACCATGCCTGGCTGTCGTATCTATTTCAATGACATTCAGAATTCACACCTTCTTTTTCTCAGTCCTGTACAGATGTGAAGACACAGCTGAGGAGTCGGGCCCCAGCTTGGCTTCGGCGTCTGTGTGGACAGCTGCTCTCTGAAAGGTTAATGAGACCTAATGGTGTTCAGGCAGTAGTCCGGGGCATTTTGGAAGGAGCAGGTGGTAAGAAATAAAATGTTTCTGTGATTTTGATACCCATTTTCCTTTGAGTCAGAGTCTGAGGTTAATTATTGGTCTTTAATATTTACCTTTAAAACCTTACTGAAACAAAACTATGTCCTTGCAGGGATTGGACAGGTCAAACTTAAAGGCCCATAATGAGCTTCTTTTCCAAAGAAACGCATTCTCTTGCTCTTTCCCTAAAATAGTTTGTGATACACAGCCTATTTTATTGAATAATATTGTAAGCCACTTCAAATAATTTCTAATATCGGAGGAAAACATTACACAGAAAGTTGAAGTAAACCCTAGAGTAAATGTTAAATAAAGCCAGGTGTGGGCTGGGTGTGGTGGCTCATGCCCGCACTTTGGGAGGCTGAGGCAGGTAGATCACTTGAGGTCAGGAGTTCAGGACCAGCCTGGGCAACATGATGAATCCCCATCTCTACTAAAATACAAAAATTAGGCAGACGTGGTCATGGCAGGCGCCTAATCCCAGCTACTTGGGAGGCTGGGGCAGGAGAATCACCTGAACCTGGAAGGTGGAGGTTGGAGTGAGCCAAGATGGTGCCACTACACTCCAGCCTAGGTGACAGAGTGAGACTTTGTCTCAAAAATAATAATAATAAAGCTGGGTGTGGTGGCTCACACCTGTAATACCAACACTTTGGGAGGCTGAGGCAAAAGGACTGCCTGAGGCCAGGAGTTCAAGACCAGCCTGGGCAACATAGCAAGACTCTGTCACTACAAAAATAAAAAAACCAGCCAGGTATGGTGTTGCCCGCCTGTGGTCCCAGCTACTTGGGGGGCTAAGGCAGCAGGATCGCTTGAGCCTAGGAGTTCAAGGCTGCAGTGAGCCATGATCGTGGCACTGCATTCCAGCCTGGGCAGAAAAAGCAAGACCCTGTCTCAAAAAAAAAGAAAAAAGTGAAATGTAAAATAGTTTTCTTGAAGCCAGAAATACCTTTGAGATGCAAACTTTGGGATCAAGTTTTACAGTCATTTCCCCAATTTATATTATCTAAGTCCTCATTAATAGGAAAAACAATAATAATGCTAAGCATGGTGGAGTTTTTAATTTATATTTTTTGTGTTTTTTTTTAGACAAAATTAGACGTGTACAATCATTTAAAGTCAAATAGTTCTGTGAGGCTTATAGTGAAAAATAGCAGTCCTTGGCACCATTACAATCCATTTCCCGTATCTAGAAGCAAATACTGGCTGGGCACAGGTGGCTCAAGCCTGTAATCCCAGCACTTTGGGAGGCCGAGGCGGGTGGATCACGAGGTCAAGAGATCGAGATCATCCTGGTGAACATGGTGAAACCCCGTCTCTACTAAAAATAAAAAAAAAAATTAGCTGGGCATGGTGGTGAGTGCCTGTAATCCCAGCTACTCAGGAGGCTGAGGCAGGAGAATTGCCTGAACCCAGGAGGTGGAGGTTGCAGTGGGCCGATATCGTGCCATTGCACTCCAGCCTGGGTAACGAGCGAAACTCCGTCAAAAAAAAAAAAAAAAAAAAAAAAGAAGCAAATACTTTGAACTCTCAGTGAGTTTTTTCCGGTATTTATCTCTATATTTCTTTTTTTTTTTTTTTTAAACAGAGTTTCACTATTGTCACTCAGGCTGGAGTGCAATGGCGCAGTCTCAGCTCACTGCAACCTCCACCTCCTGGGTTCAAGGGATTCACCTACCTCAACCTCCCAAGTAGCTGGGATTACAGGCATGTGCCTCCACACCCAGTTAATTTTGTATTTTTTTTTTTTGAGACGGAGTTTCGCTCTTGTTACCCAGGCTGGAGTGCAATTGCATGATCTCGGCTCACCGCAACCTCCGCCCCCTGGGTTCAAGGAATTCTCCTGCCTCAGCCTCCCTAGTAGCTGGGACTACAGGCGTGCGCCACCATGCCCAGCTAATTTTTGTAGTTTTAGTAGAGACGGGGTTTCACCATGTTGACCAGGATGGTCTTGATCTCTTGACCTCGTGATCCACCCGCCTCGGCCTCCCAAAGTGCTGGGATTACAGGCTTGAGCCACCGCGCCCGGCCTGTATTTTTAAAAGAGACGGAGTTTCACCATGTTGGTCAGGCTGGTCTTGAACTCCTGACTTCAGGTGATCCATCCACCTTGCCCTCTCAAAGTGCTGGGATTACAAGTGTGAGCCACCAGGCCCGGCCCCTATGTTTCTAACTAATATATGGGAATTTGTAATTTTTCAGTTTTAGACATCATATATCTACTTCTCACATGTGTGGAAGAGGATCTTACTCTCTTTTATATCACTGCCATCATTCCCCCAAGTACATTTTTATTTTCCCATCTCTTTAATATATTTATATCTCAGTTTTGGTTAGATCAATATTCAGTGTTTATATTAGTGTAACTCCAGTTATTATTTACAGCTGAGCTATGTTGTATATTATGATATTATGATTACTTTCTTTTTTTACATAATCTTTTGTACTTCCTGGAGTTAATCTTTTTTGTTGTCTGATTAGTTTTCTATGTGTTTATCTCTAATCTTTTCTCAAGCTCTTCCTCTTTTGTTTAAATCTCCTTTTCTTTTTTTTGAGACGGACTTTCACTCTTGTTACCCAGGCTGCAGTGCAATGGCACGATCTCGGCTCACTACAACCTCCGCCTCCTGGGTTCAAGCAATTCTTCTGCCTCAGCCTCCTGAGTAGCTGGGATTACAGGCACGCGCCACCATGCCCAGCTAATTTTTGTATTTTTAGTGGAGACAGGGTTTCACCATGTTGACCAGGATGGTCTTGATCTCTTGACCTCGTGATCCACCTGCCTCGGCTTCCCAAAGTGCTGGGATTATAGGCGTGAGCCACCGCGCCCAGCTAAATCTCCTTTTAATACACTCAAAAACATCAGATAGGCTGGGCACTATGGCTCATGCCTATAATCCCAACACTTTGGGAGGCCAAGGCAGGTAGATCACTTGAGCTCAGGAGTTCAAGACCAGCCTGGGCAACATGATGAAACCCCATTTCTACCAAAAATACAAAAATTAGCTGGTTGTGGTGGTGCACGCTTGTGGTCCCAGCTACCCAGGAGGCTGAGGTGGGAGGATTGCTGGAGCCCTGGAAGTTACGGTTTTAGTGAACCGAGTTCACAACACTGCACTCCAGCCTGGGTGGCAGAGCCGAAACCCTGTTTCAAGCAAAGAAACAAACAAACACACAAAAACCCATCAGATATTCTATCAGTTTTATCTTCTTGGAAACATCTTTCTCTGGGTCTTCTGACCTGCTCTACTCTAACCTGGTTACCTTCTACTCAGCTGCTATCCAAGGATCCCCTTCACCTTTATCCTGGTGAGCCCTTTGCCTTTTTTGTGTGTTCAGTCTCTTATCTTACTTATCCCATGCCTGTTAGTTTCCTATTCCTGCTCAAGAATTTCCCACAAGTCTAGTGGCTTTTTGATGGAAATGGCATTTAAACTGAGCCCTGAAGTCTGAGTTGGATTTAAGTAACTGAAGAGTGAGGGAGGATGGTTATAGGCAGAGAAAGTAACACGTATGAGGAACTGAAGTAGGAATGAACATGGTGGTTCTGAGGAAATCTCCATGTGGGTAGGGTCGTGAGGGCAGAGTGCAGGGAGGGTGGCTGGGGCCACATCAGGAAGGCTGAGTTCAGGATGTTGAACTTTATTCGGAGGGAAGTGAGAAACCATGGAAGGTTTCAAGAAAGAAAGAACATGATCAAATCTACATTTAAGAAATATCTATGTGTAGGTATTGTGAAGAATGGGTTGGGTAAGAGCAGAAGCAGGGAGATCAATTAAGGAGGCAGTCATCTGAGAGATCGGGGAGGCTTGGATTAATGCAGTGGCCATGGAAGTGGAGAGAAATGAATGCGTTTCAGAGATATTTAAGGAGGAGAGTTGCTAGAACTTAATGAAGGGCTGGATATGTGAGGAAGAAGGAAGAGAGATAGAATAAATCTTGACTTCATTTCTGCCATAGTTAATGTATCTTGGTCTTGTCAGACAGAAGTGAGGTGAGTGTGGTTAGCAGATATTGGTAGATTTGGTCTAGAGTGGCCATAATATTGCCTCCCTTCAGTTCTAACCACAGTGGCTTCTTATCAGTTACCCATAAGAAATTGTTCCCTGCTAACAATTTTTTGCATCTTCCTATTCCAAAAAGGGTTATACCTTACCTAAGGGCATGTAGATTTGAGAGCTACTATAAAGAAAATCAGAACGCTCTTTTTCCTGTGATTCCACCCAACTTGTGTATGTGTATATTTGTTGTTGTCTATTCATATCTTGTTTCTTTCCCAGGATGGTTTGAAGTAGGTTTATATTGACCTGCATATTTGCCATTTCTGGTGGTCTTCATTTCTTTATGTAGATCAAAATTTCAGGGAAAATTTCCTTCTGCCCGAACTTTAGTTACTATTGCTTATAGTATAGGTCTACTGGCAATTAATTTTTATTTTATTTTTATTTTTATTTTATTTATTTTTTTTTTTGTTTAAATCATTTTTATTTACAGCAAACTCTACTATGTACATTTCACCCCGAATCACTTTCAAGTTCTTTGGCCTTTGCTTTTTCCAGGCCTGGCGATGTGAGCCACAGACTTGGGACCCAGGACTTTGCCTCCCCAGTGACGCCGTATCTCCTCATATCTGTCACTGTTTGTCCTGAATTTTTATTTTTTTTTTAAGATGGAGTTTTACTCTTGTCACCCAGGCTGGAGTGCAATGGCATGATCTTAGCTCACGGCAACCTCTGCCACCCAGGTTCAAGCATTTCTCCTGCCTCAGCCTCTTGAGTACCTGGGATTACAGGTGCCCGCCACCACGCCCGGCTAATTTTTTTTGTATTTGTAGTAGAGATGGGATTTCACCACATTGGCCAGGGTGGTCTTGAGCTCCTGACCTCATGTGATCTGCCTGCCTTGGCCTCCCAAAGTGCTGGGATTATAGGCATGAGCCACTGCGCCAAGCCTGGCAATTAATTTTCTAGCTTTTGTTTGTCTGAAAATGCCTATCTACTTCATCTTCCTTTTTGAAAGATATTTTTTGTTGGTTATGGAATTCTAGGTTGACATTTATTTCTTCTTTTACTACTTTAAAAACATTTCATTGTCTTCTAGCTTATGTCATTTTGGATGAGAGGTCTGCTGTCACTTTTATCTTTGTTCCTGTATAAATGGTATACCATTTTTCCCTCTGGCTGCTTTTAAGATTTTTCTCTTATTGCTGGTTTTTAGAAATTTGATTATGATATGCCTTGGTGTGGTGTTGGTTTCTTTAATTTTTTTCTGCTTTTTGGAGCTGTGGGTTTATAGTGTTTGCCATATTTGGAAATTTCTCAGATACTATCTTTATTTCTGTACTCCTTTCAGATCTCTCTGGGAATTTGAATTACACCAAATATTATGTTTAATGTTGTCCTGCAAATTATTAATGCTGTGTGTGTGTGTGTGTGTGTGTGTGTGTGTGTGTGTTTTCTTCTCTGTCTTTTAAAATTTTTTTACCAGAGACAGGGTCTTGCTCTGTCTCCCAAGCTAGAGTACAGTGACATGATTTTGGCTCACTGCAACTTCTGCCTCCCAGGTTCAAGCAATTCTTGTGCCTCAGCCTTTCGAGCAGCTGGGATTACAGGCATGCACAACCACACCTGGCTAATTTTTGTATTTTTAGTAGAGAAAAGGCTTCACCATATTGCTCAGGCTGGTCTTGAACTCCTGGTCTAAAGTGATCCACCCGCCTCGGCCTCCCAAAGTGCTGAGATTACCGGTGTGAGCCATTGTGCCTGGCCAAGGACAAATCTTAATAGTTGTCTTAATGGTCTTGTCTTTTTTTTTTTTTTTTTTTTTTTTTGAGACGGAGTTTTGCTCTTGTTATCCAGGCTGGAGTGCAATGGCTCGATCTCAGCTCACCGCAACCTCCGCCTCCTGGGTTCAGGCAATTCTCCTGCCTCAGCCTCCTGAGTAGCTGGGACTACAGGCACGCGCCACCATGCCCAGCTAATTTTTTGTGTTTCTGGTAGAGACGGGATTTCACCATGTTGACCAGGATGGGCTTGATCTCTTGACCTTGTGATCCACCCGCCTCGGCCTCCCAAAGTGCTGGGATTACAGGCTTGAGCCACCGCGCCCTGGCAATGGTCTTGTCTTCTAATTCTGTTACCTCTGTTTTGGGGGATCTGTTCTATTGATTTTTCTTTTCTTTTTTGAGACAGAGTCTTTCTTGCTTTCTCACCCAGGCTGGAGTGCAGTGGCACGATCTTGCCTCACCGCAACCTCTGCCTCCTAGGTTCAAGAGATTCTCCTGCGTCAGCCTCCCAGGTAGCTGGGATTACAGGTGTACACCACCATGCCCAGCTACTTTTTATATTTTTAGTAGAGACAGGGTTTTGCCATGTTGGCCAGGCTGGTCTCGAACTCCTGACCTCAGGTTATCTGCCTGCCTTGGACTCCCAAAGTGCTGAGATTATAGGCGTGAGCCACCACTCACAGCCTGTTCTATTGATTTTTTTTTTTTTTTTTTTTCTAATTATAAGCAATATGGTTTTCCTTCTTTGCATGCCTGGTAAGTTTGTGTGTATGTGTTTTAAGGTATTCACATATGGTAAAAGTCATTTTTTTAAAGAGTACAGTTTGGTGGTGTTTAGTATATTCACAGAGCTGTGCAATCATCACCAATATCTATTTCCAGAACATTTTCATCAACCTTCTCCCACACCCACCCCAAAGAAGCCCTCACACTCACTAGCAATCACCACTCCTCATTCTCCCCTCAGACTCTCTCTGGTAAGTACTAATTCACTTCCTGGTCTCTTTGGATTTACCTGTATTGGCATTTTCATACAACATATGGTCTTTGTGTCTGGCTTCTTTTAGTTTTTGAGGTTTATTCATGTTTTTTGTTTGTTTGTTTTTGAGACGGAGTTTTATTCTTTTGCCCAGGCTGGAGTGCAATGGCATGATCTCGGCTCATTGCAACCTCCTCCCAGGTGCAAGCAATTCTCCTGCCTCAACCTCCTGAGTAGCTGGGATTACAGGCACCCACCACCACACCCGGCTACTTTTTGTATTTTTTGTAGAGATAGGGTTTCACCATGTTGGTCAGGCTGGTCTTGAACTCCTGACCTCAGGTGATGCACCCACCTCGGCCTCCCAAAGTGATGGCATGAGCCACCGCACCCAGCTGAGGTTTATTCATGATATAACATGAATCAGTTTTTTTTCCTTTTTATGACTGAATAATATTTCCTCACATGAATATGCCTGGCAATTTTTGACTAGCTGCTGAACATTTTTATTTTACATTGCTGAGTGCCAGATTTTTTATTCCTTAGGTGGGCTTTGTTCTGGAATGCAGTTAAGTTACTTGGAATTAGTTTAGTTCCTTTGATCCTGGCTTTTCAGCTTTGTTAGTGTGGTTCTACAGCAGCCTTTAAGATAATTTAACCCCTTATTGTATTATACTACGTGTATTGTATTGTACTAAATGTACAATACAGATTGTACGAAGACAATACACTTCTGAGAATTCTAGTTGTTGCCCTGTGTATTAGGAGATCCTCCCAGGTTGGCTAGTGGGAGCACAACTATTCCCAGTCCTTTATGAACCATGGAAGTTGTTCCCCCTACTCCTTTCTGGTGGTACTTGCCCCAGGCTTTGGTATTTTCCTCACACATACATGTATCATACTCTACCAAAGACCTGAGAGAGAACCCCTCTGCAGATCTTTGGAACTCTCTCTGTGTAACTTCCTCCTCTCTGGTATTTTGCCTTGAAAATTCCAGCTGCATTGGCCTCCCTGAACCCTGAACTATGTTTCTTCCACTCAGTAAGATGCCAGGCTTTGTTTGGGCTACTCCTGCTATCGCTTGAAAACTCTCTCCATGTTTTTTTTGTCATGAGCAAAGGCAGTCATCAGGTTCACTTTCTTTGCTTCCCTTCTCTCAGGGATCAGTGTCCTGGGCTGCTGCTGCCCATTGTCTGAAAACCATTCTTTATATATTTTGTCCAATTTTATAATTGCTTAAGATGGTAAAGTAATTCTGGTCCCTGTCACTCTATGGCTGTGGTTTAAGACAGTTTAAATTAAATGATATATATAAAGAGACAGAATAAGGCCGGGCGCGGTGGCTCAAGCCTGTAATCCCAGCACTTTGGGAGGCCGAGGCGGGTGGATCACGAGGTCGAGAGATCGAGACCATCCTGGTCAACATGGTGAAACCCCGTCTCTACTAAAAATACAAAAAACTAGCTGGGCGTGGTGGCACATGCCTGTAATCCCAGCTACTTAGGAGGCTGAGGCAGGAGAATTGCCTGAACCCAGGAGGCGGAGGTTGCGGTGAGCCGAGATCGCGCCATTGCACTCCAGCCTGGGTAACAAGAGCGAAACTCCGTCTCAAAAAAAAAAAAAAAAAAAAGAGAATAATAATAATAGTAATAAACATAGTGAAGCTAGTATTCCATTTATATGAATAATACCATTATAGTGACTAAGTTCTAGTTTTTCTCTGAATTTCCCAGAAACTAGCATCAAAAGGAAAATATAGGCCGGGCATGGTGGCTCATGCCTGTAATCCTAGCACTTTGGAGGCCAAGGCAGGCAGATCACCTGAGGTCAGAAGTTGACCAGCCTGGCCAACATGGCGAAACCCCGTCTCTACTAAAAATTAAAAAAAAAAAAATTAGCTGAGCATGGTGGTGTGTGCCTGTAATCCCAGCTACTTGGGAGGCTGAGGCAAGAGAATCGCTTGAACCTGGAAGGCAGAGGTTGCAGAGAGCTGAGATCATGCCACTGCACTCTAGCCTGGGCAACAGGGAGACTCTGACTCAAAATAAATAAATAAGAAATAAAAAACATAAAAAGGAAAGTATAGAGGGGTAGATTATATTATAGAAAAAGAAAACTATTTTCAATAGAGAAGATACATGCATTTTATCCTAAATTTTAAGACAAGTTTGTTATATGGAACCTTCTGTGGGAAACTGCTTTGAGCTTCTGACATCTCTCTCCATTGTGCCAGCGGGGGCAGCTGGTGGAAGCGATGCTGAGGCGATGGCTGCTGACTGGAAGAAGTGTGACCTGATCGCAAAGATTTTGGCCTCTTGTCTCCAGCAGTCTCTTTCACCAGAGAGTTACTACAAGGACATCTGCCCTCAGGTAAGTCATTTTGTTTCTGTTCACCCTTTGACAGTTATCTGCTTATGTACAGAAAGAGGACTTTTAATGTTTCTCTAATATTGAGGTAAAAGCAGTATAATATTTAAGTTTATTGTTTAGTGAGGAGCTTTCTTAATAAATGAATCAAATCCTGTGGAAGAGACTGACATAATTGTTCAGTTTAAGAATGATTCACTGGCCTGGATGTGGTGGCTTACGCCTATAATCCCAGCACTTTGGAAGGCCGAGGTGGGTGGATCACCAGCTCAGAAGTTAGACCACCCTGACCAATATGGCGAAACTCCATCTCTACTAAAAATACAAAAAATTATCCGGGGATGGCGGCACCTGTCTGTGATGCCAGCTACTCAGGAGGCTGAGGCAGGAGAATTGCTTGATCACCTGGAAGGTGGAGGTTGCCATGAGCTGAGATTGCACCGCTGCACTCCAGCCTGGGTGACAGACTGAGACTCTGTCTCAAAAAAAAAAAAAAAAAAGAATGCTTCATCACTCTTGAATGATTGAATGATTGGCCCAGCTTGCTCTCAGAGCTAGAATACAAAACTCAAGTTTCATCTTGTTCATTATCTTTTCTATGTGTTTTTAATTAGTTTTAAAAAGTGGATGTTAAATAAACAAGGTAAATTAACATGGCAAACAATTTAAAAAGCATAAAAGAGTAAACGGAAAAGTCAGTCTCCCTTCCATTCCTATTCTCTAGTCCCTCAGAGGTAGTCACCTGTTAAGAATTTCTTGTTTATTTTCCAGAGATACTCTGTGTATTATGCATATACCATCATATGTGTATATATTAATGTGTGTGTATGCAAATACATGTTAATACACACATACATTAACATATACACATATAATGATAAAATTAATGCTAATTCTTATCTAAATGATAACATACAGCATGCCTTCTTTCAGTTTGCTTTTCTTCACTGCTAGTGTGCTTTGGCCAGGCGCAATGGCTCACACCTATAATCCTAGCACTTTAGGAGGCCCAGGTGGGCAGAACACTTGAAGTCAAGAGTTCGAGACCAGCTTGGCCAACATTGAGAAACCCCTGTCTCTACTAAAAATACAAAAATTGGCTAGGCGTAGTGTCATGTGCCTGTAGTCCTAGCTACTTGGGAAGCTGAGAGAGAAGAATTGCTTGAACCCGGGAGGCAGAGGTTGAGTAAGCTGAGATCACACCAGTGCATTCCAGCCTAGGTGAAGGAGTGAGACTCCATCTGAAAAAAAAAATAGTGTACCTTGGAGATTATTTCATTCATTTTCATGGATACATGGTATTTCATCATATTAATGTACTATAATTTATTTAACCAGCCTGCTGTTAATGGACATTTGAGTTGCTTCCATTCTTTTTCTCTTACAAATTGCACTACGGTTAATATCCATATCTTTGTACATACCTACCAGTATTACCATAGGAAAAATTCCTAGAATTTAAATTATTGATTCGAAGGTTATATGCATTTAAATTTTTGCTTGATATGCTTTATGTACCTCTTTTCACACATTTTTACCCACACAATGTGTTATAAAGCTTTTTGATCTTTGCTAATCTATAGATGAAAAATGCAGAAGGAGTTTTCTTAATAGTCCCTAAGAATATGCCTAAAGTGAGCCCGTATTTTATAATTTTGATAAAATTATTTAATAAAAACACTGCAAGTATGAGGGGAGAGCAAAAACTTTTTTTAATTAAAAATAAAAACACCTCCTGTTCAGCTCTCATACCTTTGTTACTGGGTATGTTAAACTAAGAAAACAATTCTGTTGAATCAGTGTTATTGAAGTAAGTTTCTTTTTTGGCTTAGAGAAATTCCCGCTTTTTCTTTTTAGTTATTCCATGCAAAGAACTGGTATTTACTTCTTGTAGTTTTTTTTTGTAGGTTCTGGATTTATTTCACTTTCAAGATAAATTGACAGCACGACAATTTCAGAGAGTTGCCACCACTACCTTTATAACTTTGTCAAGAGAACACCCACAATTGGCAGCAAAGTATTTGCTCCAGCCAGTGTTAGCTCCTCTTCATCGATGTTTGAACACAGCAGGTAAAGGAGGAAGTGTGGTCATGGGTGTGCCTCTAAAGGACCTTCTTCAGTATTTTGTGTTTAAATGATTTAAATTTGTGTTGTTTCAGTGTCTTTAGTTTTCCTTCCCCTCCCCTAGACTTTCTAGTTTAAGAAATTCATTATAAGTTTCAAAATTATGTATTGAACTACCCATATACAGATCACCTAGACTGAATAACTATTTACATTTTGGCCACATTTGTTTTATCTTTCTCTCTTTCTACACATATAAACTTATTTTTTTCTGAAGCATTTGAGATTTAGTTGCAGAGAGCACAGCACTTCATCCCTAAATACTTTAGTATGCATCTGCAAAGAAAAATGTCAGTCTCCTGCATAACCACAATACAATTATCACACTCAGGAAATTTAACACTGATACAATATGCTGTGATCTAATATACAAATTCCGTTCAAACTTCTCTAATTGTTTCAATAATTTCTTTTATAGCTACTTTTTTTTTTTAAATCCAGAATTCAATCAAGAATCATGGCTGGGTGCAGTTGCTCATGCTTGTAATCTCAGCACTTCGGGAGGCTTAGGCAGGCAGATTCCTTGATATCAGGAGTTCGAGACCAGCCTGGGCAACGTGGCAAAACCCCATCTTTACCAAAAAACAATATAAAAATTAGTCAGGCATGGTGGCAAGCACCTGTAACACCAGCTATTTGGGAGGCTGAGGTGGGAGGATCACTTGAGCCTGGAGGTCAAGGCTGCAGTGAGCCATAATCATGCCTCTGTACTTTAGCCTGGGCAACAGAGTGAGACCTTTGCTCAAAATAATAATAATAATAATCTGTAATAAAGCTATGTCGGCCGGGCGCAGGTGGCTCAAGCCTGTAATCCCAGCACTTTGGGAGGCCGAGGCGGGTGGATCACGAGGTCAAGAGATCGAGACCATCCTGGTCAACATGGTGAAACCCCGTCTCTACTAAAAATTACAAAAAACTAGCTGGGCATGGTGGCGCGTGCCTGTAATCCCAGCTACTTAGGAGGCTGAGGCAGGAGAATTGCCTGAGCCCAGGAGGCGGAGGTTGCGGTGAGCCGAGATCACGCCATTGCACTCCAGCCTGGGTAACAAGAGTGAAACTCCATCTCAAAAAACAAAAAAACAAAAAAAACTATGTCTAAATAAATAGACTTCTTACAATACTTATAAAACTTTCTTTAATTTTAATTTTTATTTATTTATTTAATCCAGTCTCAGGTAGTCTGTTACAGCATAATTTTTATTTTTTATAGAGATGGGGTCTTCCTATGTTGTCCAGGGTGGTCTGAAACTCCTGGATTCAAGCAGTCTTCCTGCCTCAGCCTCCCAAAGTGGTGCGATTGCTGAGGCGGGAGGATCACTTGAGCCCAGAAGTTTGAGGCCAGGCTGGGTAACATAATGAGACCCTATCTTTAGAAAAAATGTAAAAAATTAGCCAGGCATGGTGGTGCATGCCTGTATTCCCAGCTACTTGGGAAGCTGAAGTGGGAGGATCACTTGAGCCCAGGAGGTTGAGGCTGCAATGAGCCATAATCCTACAGTTCCACTCCAGAGCCCTGGGTGACAGAGGAAGACCCTGTCTCAAATAAATAAATAAATAAAACTATTTCAAAACTTTTTGAAGGAAAATTTTCAAATATATGCTTATAGAGAATATATAATGAACTCCTATGTACCTAACACCTGGATACAACTGTTAACTCTGCCATTTTTATTTCATCCAATCCCCAATTTTTCATTCAGTAAGTTTAAAATGAAAATTCTAAGTGATAATGTGGTATAGGTTAATTGGCAATGTTGGTTTTTAAATAATTTTTAAATAAAATAACAATACATGTTTATAATCAGTGGCATCGTAGATTCCATGAAATGTATATGAATGGTATATTGTTCAATGGTAATCATGTCAGTTTTCTGATCTTAGCTGTTATTCACTGAGCCATCTTTCTAGTAAAACTTTCTTCTTTAGGTTTAGTATGTTCTATTCAGTGAGGCACTAAATATGGGTAATTTTGTGTTTTTTTCTCTAGAGATTCCAGAGAGTTACAGGGTACCAGGAACTATTTTGGTGACAGAAGAAGAACTTTGTAGATGCATTGAGGATGTGTTTAAGGTTGGTAATCTGAATAACTAATGTTTTTATTTCTCATTTTAAAATTGTTTAAACTTTTTCTTTTTTTGTAGAGATAGGAGTCTCGCCACATTGCCCAGGTTGGTCTTGAACTCCTGGCCTCAAGTAATTTTCCCACCTCAGCTTCCCAAAATGCTGGGATTATAGACATGAGCCACTGCTCCCAGCCTTTTAAAATAATTTTGCCTTTTAGTTAGCACTTCAGGCATTGGAATGACTAATCTAAAGCTCCAAGCTGTCAGAATCTTTTCACTTTGAAAACAAGAAACTGACCTTTTTAAGTGAAAAAAACTGATATATTTTTGAAACCCTGTTAATTACATCATTTATTCTAAATGTTGAAACAGTTTAGATTCTCTAAGCATGTCTTTTGAAGAAATTGACATGGGGCCGGCCATGGTGGCTCACACCTATAATCCCAGCACTTTTGGAGGCCAAGGAGGGTGGATCACCTGAGGCCAGGAGTTCAAGACCAGCCTGGCCAACAGCCTGGCCAACATGGTGAAACTCTATCTCTACTAAAAATACAAAAATTAGCTGGGTGTGGTGGTGTGTGCCTATAATCCCAGCTACTTGGGAGGCTGAGGTAAAAGCTCCCTGCTTTTACCTGGTAGGCGGTGGTTGCAGTGAGCTGATACCATGCCACTGCACTCCAGCCTGGGGGATAGAGCGAGACTCTTTCTCCAAACAAATAAAAAGAAATTAACAGGAGCGTTTTCAATAATGTAGCCTTCCTAAAAGTATATGATAATTGAATCTACTTTATAACTTTTGATAGTAATCACTGTCATAATGAATTAAGTCTGAATAAATGATTCCTGCAGATGACTACCTAAATATATAACAAGAACGAAAACTTGCTTTCCCATTCATAGGGAGAAAAAAAAAATGAATGAAAACTAAGAATCTAGGCTGGGTGCAGTGGCTCAAGCTTGTAATCCCAGCACTTTGGGAGGCCGAGACGGGTGGATCACGAGGTCAAGAGATCGAGACCATCCCGGTCAACATGGTGAAACCCCGTCTCTACTAAAAATACAAAAAAAATTAGCTGGGCATGGTGGCGTGTGCCTGTATTCCCAGCTACTTAGGAGGCTGAAGCAGGAGAATTGCCTGAACCCAGGAGGCAAAGGTTGCGGTGAGCCGAGATCGCGCCATTGCACTCCAGCCTGGGTAACAAGAGTGAAACTCCGTCTCAAAAAAAAAAAAAAAAAAAAGAAAACTAAGAATCTAAATTTTATGTTCTTTTATCACAGTCTTATAAATATATATGGTATATGCTTTTGGAAAAAAATGAAGCTTATTGTATTGTGGCTACATGGAATTGGCCTAAATATTCTTTAAAGTTTATTTTAGGCCCAGTGTGGTGGCTTATGCCTTTAATTCCAGCACTTTCAGAGACCAAGGCAGGAGGATTACTTGAGGTTAGAAGTTCAAGACCAGCCAGGTCAATATAGTGTGGCCCGAATCTCTATAAAAAATAAAAATAATAAATAAATTAGGTTTATTTTAATAAATGTACAATAATATTTTACTATTGAAAACATGTACATTAGAAAGCAGCTTTTAAAATTATATTTCATATAAAAGGTACAGCTGCTTTGGAAAATAGTTGAGACTTCTTCAAAAATGTAAACATGGAGTTCTCATATGACCCAGCAATTCCACTTCTAGGTATATACCCAAGGGAAATAAAAATATCTTCATGCAAAAACCTGTACATGAATTTGTAGTAGCATTATTCATAATAGCCAAATAGCGATAATCCCAGCTATTCAGGAGGCTGAGGCAAGAGAATCGCAACTGTACTCCAGCCTGGGTGACAGATCGATACTTCATCTCAAAAGAAAAAAAGAAGTTTGAATAAATTTTTAAATTTTAGTTAGGTTTAAAAAAAGTTTTCTTGAGACAGTGTCTCGCTTTGTTGCCTAGGCTTGAGTACAATAGTACAGTAGCTCACTGCAGCCTCAAACTTACTGGCCTCAAGCAGTCTTCCCACCTCGAGCTTCCCAAAGTGCTGGGATTACAGACATGAGCCATTGCACCCGACCCAAAAATTTAGTTTTTTATGAAATGGTTCAAACATTCAAAACAATTATGAAAAATAAAACACTCATGCACCCAACACCCAACTTAAGAAGTTAATCATTACCAATTCTATTGAAATCCTCTATCTGCCCATCCGTGATCACATCTACCTTCCTCCCCACCCAAAGAAAACCATGATCTTGAATTTGTATTTATTCATGTAATATCCTTAAGCGTAGTATTGTACATTATTTTATTCTGTTTTATTTTTCTTTTGAGTTGGAGTCTCACTCTGTCAACCAGGCTGGAGTGCAGTGGCACGATTTCAGCTCACTGCAACCTCTGCCTCATGGGTTCAAGCGATTCTCCTACCTCAGCCCCTCAAGTAGCTGGGATTACAGGCATCTACCACATGCCCATCTAATTTTTGTATATTTACTAGAGATGGGGTTTCACCCTGCTGGTCAGTCTGGTCTTGAACTCCAGACCTCAAATAATCCACCCACTTTGGCCTCCCAAAGTGCTGAAGTTACAGGCATGAGCCACCGCACCCGGCTTATCGTATTCTATTTTTGAGATGGGGTCTTGCTCTGCTGCTGAGGCTGGAATGCAGTGGTGCAATCATGGCTCACTGTAGCCTTGAACTCCTGGGCTCAAGCAATCTTCCTGCCTCGGCCTCCCAAGTAGCTGGAATTATTGGCACACACAGCTAATTAAAAAAAATTTTTTTTGTATAGATGTAGCCTCACAATGTTACCCAGGCTAATGATTTTTAATTTTATCTGAATGTCATCATAATATATATAACTATAATTCATTCATTTTCACTGTTAGATTTTATTCCATCGTATGCCTGTATTACTACTTGCTTGTTGTTTTATTGACAGACATTTGAGTTGTTTCCAGGGAATTTCCGCCAAATTTCTCTTGGGTACATTTTGATTTTAATTAGCATTTCTCTTATTACCGGTGAGGTTGAACATAATTTTTGTGTTTTTGGTGGGTTCATATTTTTTCTTCTGTAAATTACTGATTCAAGTATTTGCCTATTTTAAAAACTGGGTTATTTGCCTCTTTAATCATGTTTAGAGTTAAGTCAGTTTTTTGTTTTTTTGTTGTTGTTGTTGAGATGGAATCTCACTCTGTCGCCCAGGCTGGAATGCAGTGGCACGATCTCAACTCACTGCAACCTCTGCCTCCTGGGTTCAAGCACTTCTCCTGCCTCAGCCTCCTGAGCAGCTGGGACTATAGGCACGTGCCACCATGCCCAGCTAATTTTTGGTATTTTTAGTAGAGATGGGATTTCACTGTGTTAGCCAGGATGGTCTCAATCTCCTGATCTTGTGATCTGCCCGCCTCGGCCGCCAAAGTGCTGGGATTACACGTGTGAGCCACCATACCAAGTCTTTTTTTTTTTTTTTTTCCCCAATAAAACTGGTTTATTGAAGTATACTTTAAATACCATAAAATCATTTATTTTAAATATATAGTTCAGTGAATTTTAGTAAATTTACAGATTTGTGAAACCGTCACCAATATATAATTTTAGAAAATTTCCTTCGTCAAAAGATCCCTTGTGCCATTTGTAATTGCTCCCTGACCTACCCCTAGCTCCAGGCAACCGTTAATTCATTCTCTATCTCTATAGATTTGCCTTTTTGTGGATATTTCATATAAGGGAATTATGCAATATGTGTTCTTTTGTGTCTAGCTTCAGTCACTTACCATAGTGTTTTGTTGTTGTTGTTATTGAGAAGGAGTCTTGCTCTGTCACCCAGGCTGGAGGGCAATGGCACAATCTCGGCTCACTGCAACTTCCACCTCCTGGGTTCAAGTGATTCTTCTGCTTCAGCCTCCTGAGTAGCTGGGATTACAGGCGCATGCCACCATACCTAGCTAATTACATTGTATTTTTAGTAGAGGGGGTTTTCACCATATTGGCCAGGTTGGTCTCAAACTCCTGACCTCGTGATCCACACGTCTCAGCCTCCCAAAGTGATGGGATTACAGGCGTGAGCCACTTAAAAACACTATCATATTTTTAAGTCTCATCCATGTTGTTGGAAATACCAGTTTCTTGCTGCCTTTATTGCAAAATACTATTTCATTGTATGAATAGTTCACATTTTGCTTATCTGTTCATCCCTTGATGGAAATTTAAATGTAATTAAAAAAATTACTTTATTGAGGCCGGGCGTGATGGCTAACACCTATAATCCCAGCAGTTTGGGAGGCCAACATGGGCAGATCAGGAGGTCAGGGGTTCAAAACCAGCCAGACCAACATGGTGAAACCCTATCTCTACTAAAAATACAAAAATTAGCCAGACATGGTGGCACATGCCTGTAATCCCAGCTACTCAGGAGGCTAAAGGAGGAAAATCACTTGAACCCAGGAGGCAGAGGTTGCAGTCAGTCAAGATCACACCACTGTGCTCCAGCAGGGTGACAGAGAGTCTCTCTCTCTCTCTCTCAAAAAATAATAAAAATAAAGAGTATAGATCAGTGGCTTTTACATATATTCATAGATTTGTACAACTATCATTGTGATCAACTTTAGGACTTTTCATTCCCCCAAAAAAAAACCCCAGCCAGGCACGGTGGCTCACGCCTGTAATCCCAGCACTTTGGGAGGCCAAAGCAGGAGGATCACTTGAGGTCAGGAGTTTCAGACCAGCCTGGCCAACATGACGAAATCCTGTCTCTACTAAAAATACAAAAATTAGCTGGACATGGTGGCACACACCTGTAATCCCAGCTACTGGGGAGGCTGAGGCAGGAGAACCTGGGAAGCGGAGGTTGCAGTGAGCCAAGATCCCACCACTATTCTCCAGCCTGGGTGACAAGAGTGAAACTCCATCTCACAAAAAATAAAAACAAAAAGAAATCTCTACAACACTTAGCCATCACTCCCAAATCTCTCCACCACCAATCACCCATCCCCTATACATAGACAAC